TGTATGAGTATATTGCCTGCATGTATGTGAGTGCAGCCTCAGAGGTCAGAAGAGAGTGTCAGATTCCCCTGGAACTGGAATTAAGGACGGTTCGTAGCCACCATTGGGTGCTAGGAATTGAACCCGGGTCCTCTGCAAGAGCAGTCAGTGCTCTTAACCACTGAGCCATCTCTCCAGCCCCGGGGTCCTTATTTTTAAAAAATGGTTTTCTGCCTTTGGAGGTTTTAAAAGTAACTGACATAGTAGTACTAATGTTAGGAAGCTATCTGTTTGTTCCTTGTCTGATTCTTCTCTGTAAGAGATGTATTCTCTGAAAGCCATGATAGAAAAAAAACCAAACTATAGTTATGGCTTTATATGAGGTCATAAACCAAGACGAGGTGAGACTTTGGGGATACAATTCATGATTCCATGATTAATCCCCATCTCTGGGGCGGGGGGGATGATGTAGCTAAATGGAATATTTAAGGCAAATGTGGATTTTAATCCTTATTTTCTTGTCTGTCAGCAAATTTTAGCAGACAAGTTTATGGTTAGAACACTAACACAGCTAGGTAAAACCACTGACCTTGTGTCTGATGAAACTTTCTCAATTCTGTTTGTCTCAGATGGAGACTTCTGCAATGATTTTCAGACAGGAATTTTTTTTAGCATTTGTTTTCTTTCTAAATTTATAAAAATTTGCCTAATTTTGAGACTGTTAGTTTCCTTCTCACTGTAACCTGATGCCTAAGGTATAAAATTTATATGCTACTTCCCTTTGGGACTCAGAACTTTGAGACAGTAGTCTCTCTGGGTCAAGGCTACAGCCTAGATAAAATACCTGCTTCCTGTACACTCCTGGTGTCCTGCCTGATTGTTCCCATAACACTAGGATTAAAAGCATGTGCCACTGTGTCTGGCGACTTATTTTTGTTTTTATCCTCAGACAGGGCCTTCCTATGTTGTCCAGACTTGCCTTGAACTCCTAGGCTTAAGTCATCCTGCCTTATCACCCAAGTGCTGGGACCACAATTGTGGCATCACACCATCTACAAAAGGGAGTATTCTAGTTCTCATGATAGTAAGAATTCCTGTTATAATCACTGGCTCTTTTGACTCAGCACAAGCCCCTAGATTTTAGGTACCTTCAGAAGACTCTACTTGCATCAGGCTGAACAACAGGCAGTGCCATTCAGAGCCTTCCAAAACACAGGACTTGTTCTTTCTAAGAGCCTTGAGTTACCCATCCATGGTGTCTGTGACATCAGTGCAAATCCTGTTTTGTACATTCCTGGTCTTGAGAAACAGCCTATCAGAATCTCTTTTTAGATTCTCTAAGACAGTATCACTTGGAGTTTTCAGTGAGTCTCAGCTACCCACAATATAAAATGCTTGGGGCTTGCCCAGTTTCTTTATGTATAACTCAAAATGGGGTTTCAAAGCCCATGTGAGAGCAACATCATCTGTCTTTCTGTACTTCACAGCCTGACTTGGCAGCCAACGAGGCTCAGCTTTTGAGGAAGATCCAGTTGTTGTGCCTTATGGAGGTAAGCACTCAAGAATTATCCTGTGCAAAATTCTCAACTATTCACATAAGCTGGGTATTCCCTGTGAGTTTTCCCACCCCTCCTGAGTGGTTTCTTCCTTATGGCCCTATTCTTGCCCATGTGTTTCCTTTTGCCTCTGCTTATTTAAGTTTGAATTTGTATCTTACAATTTTTTTTTTTTTTTTTTTTTTTTTTTTTTTTTTTTTCAGCAATACCACTTCTGGGTAAAGGGGGCAGGGGACACATGTGGAGGTCAGAGGACAATATGCAGGAGTCAGTTCTCTCCCTCTACCATGTGGGTTCTAGGGATCAAACTCCAGGTCATCAGTCTTGACAGTAAGCACCTTTACCCACAGAGCCATATCACTGGCCCATAAGTTTGAATCTTGGATAGCCCCGTTCAGACTTGTTTCCCACCCATCTGAGTTGAAGCTGCTGTCCCTTTCTGCCACTAACCTTGTGACATGCCCTTTCTGTCCACGTGTTTGTTTTTCTCCACTGGAATATGAGCTTGCAGAAGAAATGAAACTTGCATTTCTAGTTCCCTACAGTGTCCTCTTTGAGGGACTTGGTCACCTCCTATACCTGTGCAAGGAATAAGTATTTGTTCTTGTCAAACGTTCCTTTAAAGCTTGTTTTGTTCTTTAACCTTGTCTGAACATTGAAAACTTGTTCATAGTGGATACATGACTAAGATTAGGAAATATTTAGTATGTGGAGTACTGATAAGGTGATCTCTGTTTTCAGAGCAACTCTTAGCAAAAAAATACTCCTTTCTTTTTTAGGGGAACAGGGGGTGGTGTTTGAAACAGGGTCTCACTTTGTAGCCCTGGCTGGCCTAGAACTCTACATAGACCAGGCTGGCCTCATGAAGATCCAACTGCCTATGCCTGGTATTAAAGGCATGCACCATCACGCCTGGCAACAATAAAATATTCTTATAAATCAATTGTTTGACCACTGTTTTGTTTGGAAAAATAGTTTTAAATAGTTAATTTTTTTCAGATGACTTTCACACGGCCTGCCAACCACAGACAGCTCACCTTTGAAGAAATTGCCAAAAGTGCAAAAATCACTGTGAACAAGGTATGGTTCTTAGACTTGGGTCTGGTAGCAGGAGAGCTATCCTGACCCCTGGCAGAGGTCTGGCTTCTGCAAACACTGTGTACCTAGCATGTCTCATGCAAGCCCCTTGCACAGGTGGAGTTGCTGGTGATGAAGGCACTGTCAGTGGGGCTGGTGAGAGGCAGCATAGATGAGGTAGACAAGCGAGTTCATATGACCTGGGTGCAGCCCCGAGTTCTGGATTTGCAGCAGGTAAGGTGACTTGAGTCCTGCCCACTTTTGTGGGCTTGGGGTTGTACCTATGCTGTCCCAGTTTTGTGTGGACAGAAACCATTTGAGAAGAAGGCATTATTTTACACAGGGTATTGGAGATGGGATTACTGCTATGGAGGCCTAGTATAATGCATACCTGATGTCTGAGCCCTACATTTAGAGGCTTACTGTGGCAACAGTGCTGGCTGTGCTGGTGGTGCCTTTTAATCTTAAAATTGGTACTGTGATCAAGTATGTTCCTGGTTTTATGATTTGAGACCATATCCTTATTCATATTTGCTGGAAATTTAATCCTGTGGGTTTCCTTCATTCTTGGCTATTTTCTTTAATGAGCATTTTTAGAATATCCTTATGATAAAAATTGCAGGAAGATCCCATGATACATCCTCACCCCAGCCCTGTTGCCATTAGTGTTATCCCAATAAAGAGAGATTTAGCATTGTCACACATGGCCTGTGACTTCCTTGTGGCCTAACACCCCATGTGATTCTGATTTGCCTTCAGATCAAGGGGATGAAGGACCGTCTGGAACTGTGGTGTACTGATGTAAAGAGTATGGAGATGCTGGTGGAGTACCAGGCGCAAGACATCCTCACGTAGTGCCCCAGTGTCTGTGACCCCAGCCTCATCCAGCAAGGCATTTCTGTGGCCCCTGAAACTGTCAGGGGAGAAAATCTGTATTAAATTGGGATGGGGGTTGGGATCCTGCTGAGTAGGAACACTTCTTGCTGTAAAAGCAGAGGACTGTCAATGATGGGGGTATGGTTACCTGGAAAAGACTCTTGTGTTGTGTGTCTTGTAGCCTGCAAAGAGGGTTGGTGGGTTCTCCGGGCCTGGATGATGAGGGAGGGCTAGAATGGGAATAGGGATGGAATGGTCTCTACCCACATCCACCTAAATGGACCCTTTTCTATATGGTTTGAGAGTGCTCCTGTAATAAATTACTTTGCTTTGTCCTGTTGATGATTCTGTTCTCTGGCTTAGCTCCTAAGCCAACCCTGTGCCTGAAGAAATGAGCACTTGAGCTGGAACTCAAGAGTTGGGGATTTAGCCCTGCCTCTCTTCTAGCACCATACACAGGACTACCATGGAAGAAGGAAGTCCTGTCTTTATTGTCAGACATGCAAGCATTCACTCCGTGCTACGGCCCACTTCAGAGCCTTCTTGGACCCAGGCAACCACACTTGATGCCTAGTATCATTTAGGTACTTTTGTGCCCCAGTGTATGCATGTCAACAGCCCTGTGGCAGTGGGTATTGTGAGTTGCAGCACAAGAATCAGCACAAACAGGTGGAAGAAGAGTTTAATGTGCCCTTTAAACTGTACTTCATGCTGTGGTGCTTTTCTTGTAGCCCTCTAGGTGGGATAAGACCCAGCCTGCAGGAACCAGGAAACTGAGGAATATGGTCAAGATCCCCACAGTCTGCTCCTGTCAGAAAAAAAGCACACATGAATCCACTGGCCATTAAAGGGCTTGGGCCTGGCCACTGGGCAGGAAAACTGCCTGTCCCTCGAATCCTTCAGTATGAGCTTAGCCTGTCAAAAGCAACCTTCAAGGCTGAAGTGACTGCCTTTGCTTCCTCTCTCTAGGCAGGCCAGCCAGTCTCCATTTGTCTTCTGCTCCCCTGTGCAGTCTGGCTATGAGCTGGCTCTGCTGTGTCAGTGAGGTTGGCATCCTCTAGCCCTTGGCAAGAAGGGTGACCTCAAACCAGGAAGAATAAATAGCCTTGGGCTTCAGAGCCCAAGCTACTGCCTGGCTACAGCACCTCCTAGCTGGGCAGAGGTTCACTCACTTCCTGTTACAGTATGAGCCAGGATGTTATGCAGAGTAGCAGAACAACTTCGTATTTAACTTGCTCTAAACAAGCACAGGGCCATTCTCTGAAGGTAGTCCTTCAGAAGGTGGGTGTGATCAGACACTTGCTCTACAAGGATGTGTAGTGTGGGCAGTAGCAACCCCACCAGGTGCCCCATGTTCTCAGTGATTGTACTTAGAGAACCAGATTCTGAGGCATCAAGCACACAGCATCCTGAGCTCCTGCTTGAAATGGGGCCCAGGTGCAGGCCTCCCACCTCTCAGTCAGGTGCTCCAGACCAGTCTTTCCTGTTTTAAATCCTGAGTTTAAGAGTAAATATGGCATAGAAAGCTAGTCATAGTCTAGACCGAGTCTTGGGTACATAACTGACTAATTCATGCTTGAAATAGACACACTTTGTACTTCAGATTCTACTGGGTGAGGTGCTGTTTTGGTTTTCCCTTGTACTCGGCCTCAGAGCAGCCCATCTTTCCCTGTACAGTGGAATAAATATACATATGCCCTGCTCTGAGCCCTACACCCCACCTGAACTCTGTGCCCCTTAGTTCTCGACTTTGACCCAGTGGTATATGAGACCTGAGGAAAGCCCCTCCCCATAGTTTTATCATCTTAGACTTCCCTCTTTCCCTGAAACCCTGGAAAATGCTGCCTTGGAGGTTACTTACCATAGGGGAAGTGGGAGTTTTGGCTGGCTTGGCAGAGATGTGGGCTTTGGGAGTCACCCAACACCTCAGGGGAGCTTGGAGCAGCTGCAGGACGGGGAGTCTTGACATGGTTCTGGGCTCAAGCTCCTTCCTTGAGGTATCCTGAATGTCCGCTGCACGTCCTCTACTGACTTAGGTGGTTAGGGCTTTTTATAGCTGGAGTGGGGAAATGCAGCTGTCCCCTCCTGTCACAAGACTTGGCAGAAAGAATGCCTACTGTTAGCTGGGAAAGGACCAGCCTGGCTTGTGGTCCTTCTGTGGCTTTGAAAGACTGTGAAGCCCTCAAAATGTATGTAGATGTGGGCCCTTCAAGAAAGGACTTTCACTTTGTAGAAAAAGGACCTCAGTGATGGAGTAGGCCCAGAAAATCATACTTAAAATTTGGTAAGCATTGTGGCATGCTTTAAAAGTAAACCCTAGTCAGGTATGGTGGGGTACACCTTTAATCTCAGGACTTGGGGGGTCAGAGGCAGGTGGATCTCTATGAGTTTGAGGCCACTCTGGTCTCCATAGTGAGTTCCAGGCCAGCCTGGGCTATACAATGAGACCCTGTCTCAAAATTAAGCCTTAAATCTTGGGGTGTCAACCATACAGTGCCATATAGACCTGTTCTGAAATTCTGTGATGTGGATTCCTGGGTGAGCAACTGTCTTTCCCATTCTCATATAGTAGTACACTTTCAACCAGTAGCTCTACAGTTTAAGCCTATTCTATTCCTAGGCACAGCTGGAGAGTCCCTTAGGTACCTCTGCATGGTGAGTGGTCTCACAGTTGTGTTGCAGATGAACAGAAGTAGGAATTTCAGTAGGCACTTAATGAGTGCCAGTTGTGGGAGTGGTCATGTCTTACCCTAGATCCTTGTCCCTGGTGAACTCACCGGACTATTGGGTGAGCTCTAGCACTCCAGCCTCTATGTGTTTGCAGATAATGGGCTATTTATTTTTTCCTAAACTTGTATTAGTATCTTGTTTCCTGCTCCTGAGATGTTCTCACCTTTTCAAGAAAATTCCACTCTCCCACGTGCTAGTCTACTCTGCCCCGAGGCAGTAGCCTCTGACCTCTATCCAGTGTCATCTAGCCTGTGCCTGAACTCTAGTAGCCCCAGACCCTCCTGGACTAAATAGAGCCAGACCTTGTCTGATCCTGGTCCAATGCGACTTAATATCCCCAGGTGCTTCTTTTCAGTCTTAATCTAGGATCTGTTAACCACTAACTACTATCCCCACCTCAGGGCCAAGTTCCTGTGGCCCTGGAGTGCCCCTTCTATGGCAAGCAGGCCTCTGGAATTCACACTGGAATCCAGCTCTCTAGTAGCATCACACCCTAGAGGATCAGGCCCCCATCCTCCCCACATCTAACCTCAAACATTTCTACTGTGGCTGCACATATAGCCCAGACAATCCTTGTAATGCAATCAGGTCTCATCATTATTACTGCCTATGCTCTGTATCTTCCAACAGGCTCCATGCAGTGCCTGCCTTGATATACTAGCACATTGCCAAGCCACACTGGTGCCTTTTCCTGGACTGTCTTTCCCTCATGTTCTTACATATCTATTCAGATCATTAGGTTTTGCCCAAATGCTTTTTGAATGTATCTTGCTCCACTGTGTGCTTGAATAGCTAGAATGAGAGTATGAGAGTAGGGACTCTGTCTACCACTCAGTCTTTGGAAACCTAGAACAGTTCCTGACTTAGCAGATTTTTCAGTTAATGTTGGGGAATCAGGATGGATCAATGGATGGATAGATGAATAGATGGATGACCAATTAATTGTACAAGCAGATATAAGGACAGATGGCATTTCCATCATATATTAGGCAGTGTGCTAGATTTGGAAGGGGGTTACAAAACTGAGTCAGAGAAAGCTTCAGGAAAGATGCTCTATCTTTAGAAGGCCCAGGATATTGTCATGGCTGTTAAAGGCCACAGCCTAGTGCTCTTCAGTTGCTTTCAGACCATATTGGTGTGAGTCCAAGCCTGAGATGGGACATCTGATCACACTAGTCACTGGCCTCTCAACCTCATCCTTGGCTATTGCCTGTACCCCTTGAGTTCACCATAGTCACAATCCCTCACTAGGGACAATTATGTCATTATTTGCTTAAAAACGATGATGATGATGATGATGATGTAAATCTGCTCCATTAGGAACATGACTTTTCAAAATTTTATTCATTATTTTTATTTTTTGTGTATGAGAGTATTGCCTGCATGTATGTAAGTGCACCTGTGTCATGCAATGCCTGAGGAGGTCAGAAGAGGACATCATATTCCCCTGGAACTGGAGTTATGGATGGTTGTTAGCCACCATGTGGGTGCTGGGAATTGAACCCAGGTCCTCTGCAAGAGCAGCCAGTGCTCTTATACTCTGAGCCATCATCTCTCCGGCCCCATGACTTTTTTTTTGGTCTTTTTGAGACAGGGTCTCCCTATAGCCCCAGCTGGCCTGGAACTCACTATATAGACCAGGCTGGCCTTGAACTCACAGAGATCCACCTGCCTCTGCCTCCCAAGTGCTGGGACTAAAGGCATGTGCCACAATGCCTGGCCTATGACTTTATTTTTATTCTTCTCCAGAAGTTACATTTGCTTTGTATGTAGGACTCCTCACTAGGCTCCACTCACCTTGTAGGCCCAGCCCAGTTTTCTTAGGAAAGAGCCAAGTCCTGGGAGGTCAGAGAGAGACATAGGAAGGGAGGTGTCCTGAATGTTATCTCCAGGAGCACTGGGTTCCAGGTTCCAGCCTCAGGCTGTGGGGGGCTCCCCGCCTCCTCTGTCATAATCCCTTCCGCCTGAACCTTTAATTATAGTCTTGGGGTCCAGTCTTGGATAAGGCTGTGGACCTGAGCAGTTTGTTCAGAGGATCACTCTCTCGATGGGTGATGTTTCTTCTTTCACAAGTAAGACCTGTCTCTAACCCCCACAAGCCTGCCTCTGAGAGAGATCTCCATCTCTGCCCTCCTGGGGAGCCATTTTCTGGCTGGCCATTGGCATGATCGTCCTCAGCTCTTGAGGCTGCCTTAGACAATCACCACACTGCCCTTCTCAGGGTGATTCCAGGCACTGTTGGCAATGTCAAGAGAAGTGAATTTCTTTTACTTCATATCGTGTGTGTGTGTGTGCGTGTGTACAAAATTGTTGGCTTTTGTTTTAAATATTATTTTTATTTTATATATGAGTGTACCCATGTGTGCAATGCCTGTGGAGCCCAGGAGAGGACATCAGATCCCCTGAAATGGGAACGTTGTTAGCCACCATGTGGGTGCTAGGAACCAAACCCAGGTCCTCGGCAAGATCAGTCAGTACTCTTAGCTACTGAACCATGTCTCCAACCCCCTGGTTTTGTTTATTGAGACAAGATTTTACTATGTAGCTTTGGCTGACCTGGAATTCTGTATATAGACCAGGCAGGCCTCAAACTCACAGAAACCTGCCTGCCTCCACCTCCTGAGTGCTGGAATTAAAAATGCACTATCATACCCAGCTTAAAGATTCGTTTTTATTGTATTTATATGTATGTCTGTGTGAATGTCATGTGTTTGCAGGTACTTAGAGAGGCCAAAAGATAGAGCTATAGTTACAGACAGTTCTAAGCTACCTGACATGGGTGCTTAGAACAGAATTAGGGTCCTTTGGAAGAACAGCAAGTGCTTATAGGCTTTTAACCACTGAGCCATCTCTTCAGCTCCCCTATCCCAGTTTTAAAAAATGATTCTATTTATATGTATGTGTGTCTGTATCAGTGTATGCTGGTGTGCCAACACTCCCCCTCTTTTTCTTTTGTAAGAGAAGTTTTAGGGTTTCAGAAAAGTTGTGAAGATAAGACAAAGTGGGGCTGGAGAGATGGCTTTTACAGTAAGAGTACTTACAGAGGACTTGGGTTCAGGTCCCAGCACCCATATCAGGAGGCTCTTTACTTGTAACTCCACTTTCAGGAGACCCAATACCCTCTAGCCTTCTTGGGTATCTACACATACGTGGTACACATAAACTTATGCAGGCACACACACATACACATAAGTAAAAAAATTTTTTAAAGATAGGGCAAAGTGTTTCCATTTCACCCACACTGTGGTGACTACAAGACCCAGGGCTTGATGCCCAGCATTGCAAAACACCTCAGGTGGGATGTGTAGAGAGGCCTACTTCCCTCCAAAGCCTCCGGCTTCCCAATACCTCCCAGCCCAGTCATGGTGGATGAGGCTTCAGTGATGGCTGGCCTGGTGGGTATGGGCAATGCAAAGAGTCACAATCAAAAGATACTCCACAGATCCCCTAGAGCCTGGGTGGCCATACCATCTATAGCCTTTCACTCCCTTCCTGACCCCTCCATTGGCCTTCTAACCTTCCAGCACTTTACAAACATAACCCAGCCCTCTTCATTCCTCAACTCAAGCAACAACTAGGCTTCTATCCTGTAGCTCAGGGTGGTGAAGGGGCAGCCTCTCCTCCCTGGTCCGCATTTTACTTAAGGGAAACAATGTTACCAGGTGAAGGAGAAGGCAGCCAAATTGGGTATGGGATAGAGATGAAGGCCCCATGGAGCAGCCAGGGAACTGGGGCGTGGAGAAGGCTTAGGACGGACCAGCCTTCCTGGTTTGTCCTGGACAAAAGTGCCTCTCTAGGTGTCTGGTGGACAAAGTGCTCTAGTCTTAAATCTTTTCTCAACACTCAAGCACACAACTTCTGGTGTAGAGCTGTTGTATACCTCTCCTAATGCCCAGAAGCATGAGGGGACCTATAGCCCGGCATACCCTCCCTGCAAAGCAAAGGCTACCTCAGCCCTCGGGACCCTAGGAGGACAGAGTAGACAACTGTGAGCACAGGGCACCACCCTGTGTCCAGCCTTGGAAGTGCACGAGCTGCTGGGGAAAGTGAACCACAGAGGCTGGGGTGTGCCCACTTCCCACAGGAAGACTTTACATACTGGGTACCCAGAGGACATTGGCAGAACTCTCATTTTGTACTTTATTGGATTTGTATTTACATCACTTAAAACAAGGTATGCCTGGTAGTGTCTGAGCCTGCAGCAACTAGAAACAAGTTAGAGGTGGATCCTGACAGCAAGTTCTCCTAGAGGCCTTTACAGCAGCTGGATTTACAGACCTGCAGGTTTGCTGCACATTTCACATCACCATTTTCATCTCACATAAAAACTAGATGATTGGGCTGGAGAGACTGTTCAGTAGTTAAG